CCCCAGACAACCCACAGCCTTCCACCTCTGGTGCTGGGCCGTCGTTCAGTTGTACCAGAATCAAAGAGGAAACTCCTATTTTCCAAAATCCCAGACTCAGATGTGAGCATTGGTGATGATAATGATAGTGATTATGAACTACAAGCTCTTCAAACTTGTTCCAAGAATGGAGCAGGAGGAGGAGGCAGAGGAGGAGGAGGCAGAGGAGGAGGAGGCAAGAGGAGGAGGAGGCAAGAGGAGGAGGAGGCAGAGGAGGAGGAGGCAGAGGAGGAGGAGGAGGAGGAGGAAGAGGAAGAAGAGGAGGAGGAGGAAGAGTAGGAGGAAGAGGAAGAAGAGGAGGAAGAGGAAGAAGAGGAGGAAGAGGAAGAAGAGGAGGAAGAGGAAGAGGAGGCAAGAGGAGGAGGAGGCAAGAGGAGGAGGAGGCAGAGGAGGAGGAGGCAGAGGAGGAGGAGGAGGAGGAGGAAGAGGAAGAAGAGGAGGAGGAGGAAGAGTAGGAGGAAGAGGAAGAAGAGGAGGAAGAGGAAGAAGAGGAGGAAGAGGAAGAAGAGGAGGAGGAGGAAGAGGAGGAGGAGGAAGAGGAAGAGTAGGAGGAAGAGGAAGAGGAGGAAGAGGAAGAGTATGAGGAAGAGTAGGGGGAAGAGGAGGAAGAGGAAGAAGAGGAGGAGGAGGGTGGAACACTAGTACACTGGTACTGGTACACTAACATTTGTCTGTCTATTTGTCTGTCTGTCAAGCTCCCTGTCTATCTGTCTATCCGTCTAGCTCTCTGTCTCAGAGAGCCACAAGACTGTGTCATCACTTTTACTCACATCTTCATGCAGAGTATAGCACTTTGTCTGGATTTCTTGGGTTATCCTAGGTAATTTATACTATGTATACTTGTATTTATGTGTACCTGTGAGACAGAGATAGACAGACAGAAAGAGAGAGACAGATTGAAAGAGATAGAATGAGGGAGAAAGATAAAACACCATTGTGTATGACACCATGTTTCAGAGTTCCACAAGCTGCAGAACTAATAGGAATATGTTCAGTGACTGTATATTGGTATATATATTATAGAACAATAATAATAAACAATGTTTTGTATTGTTTGTTTTTGTAAACAAGTTTTGTAAACAATATATTGATAATTATGTTTGTGTGCTTATTGTGTTGTATACAACGAGTGTATATATGTACATTGCACCTTACTTTGGTCTCATAGGCCACATAAGTTATGTGAAAAATAAAATAGTGAAAAAAAAACACAACCTTCAAATACAAGTAAATCAAAGTTTACCGGGTGAGCGGCAGTCGCCGCTGTTGCCATACGCGGCTCATTTTCTGCAAACTTCATGCATCCATATCTCCGTAAGTATTGATGGTAAAATTTTTTTGTTTATCCTATAATGTTCAGAAAAAAAAACTCTATTTTTTCATAAGAAAAAATAATTTTTTTTTTTTTGAAATTTGGCCGACCCTGAGAACGAGTTTCGGAGAGGGCCTGTCGACCCTCAAAGGGTTAAATATCATAGAATAGTATGTGTGGGTGGGGTGGCCTGGTGAAATAGCCTGCCTATTACAATACATACCACACTTGATTTCTTACAATAAATACTACTTGTCTCACCCTAGATTAAGACTATAAATATTTTAAGGTAAGTAATGAGTGCACTATGTGTGTATTGTACCTTTTTATTGTTTTTTGATGCCTGGTTCTATTGCTAACTTAATATATGTTAGTGTAAACTTGTTATCTAGTGTTTGTATGCATTTATAAGTGGAAAAAAAGGGTGTTCCACTTTACGGCGATTTCCGCTTTACGGCGCTAGCCTGGAACCTAACCCGCCGTATAAGTGGGGCCTTCCTGTATATACATTATAATCTTTCATGGTATGTGTTTATGTTTTGGTGCATGTGTGAGGGAGGGGCGGCATAATATCGTGATGAGCACTGTAGAGCTTTACCGAGTCATGATTCGATAAAGCTCTACACAGAGTAAAACATTGTCCCAACATAACTTGTTCTGCAACCTTTGTCCATTAGGTGAATAATGCAGCGAGGATTAACAGAGTGAACTGTGGTGACTATTTTAGGATGATGACTGATGGTGGTGACTATAGTAGTAAGATGACTGATGGTGGTGACTATAGTAGAAGGATGGCTGATGGTGGTGACTATAGTAGAAGGATGACTGATGGTTGTGACTATAGCAGTAGCATGACTGATGGTGGTGACTGTAGTAGAAGGATGACTGACAGCGACAACTATAAAAGACTACTGGGAAAATGAACATGGCAATACAGTAACAAAGTGACTGTTTGCCTGGATATATGTATATAAAAAAGTGAATGACTTATCGACTGGGGAGTCGAGGACACTGATAGGAAGATCACTGGTAGAATAAGGATAGTAACAAAATGACTAGTAGTATTACCTGGAGTTTACCTGGAGAGAGTTCCGGGGGTCAACGCCCCCGCGGCCCGGTCTGTGACCAGGCCTCCTGGTGGATCAGAGCCTGATCAACCAGGCTGTTACTGCTGGCTGCACACAAACCAACGTACAAGCCACAGCCCAGCTGGTCAGGAACCGACTTTAGGTGTTTGTCCAGTGCCAGCTTGAAGACTGCCAGGGGTCTGTTGGTAATCCCCCTTATGTATGCTGGGAGGCAGTTGAACAGTCTCGGGCCCCTGACACTTATTGTATGGTCTCTTAACATGCTAGTGACACCCCTGCTTTTCATTGGGGGGATGTTGCATCGTCTGCCAAGTCTTTTGCTTTCGTAGTGAGTGATTTTCGTGTGCAAGTTCAGTACTAGTCCCTCTAGGATTTTCCAGGTGTATATAATCATGTATCTCTCCCGCCTGCATTCCAGGGAATACAGTTTTAGGAACCTCAAGCGTTCCCAGTAATTGAGGTGTTTTATCTCCGTTATGCGCGCCGTGAAGGTTCTCTGTACATTTTCTAGGTCAGCAATTTCACCTGCCTTGAAAGGTGCTGTTAGTGTGCAGCAATATTCCAGCCTAGACAGAACAAGTGACCTGAAGAGTGTCATCATGGGCTTGGCCTCCCTAGTTTTGAAGGTTCTCATTATCCATCCTGTCATTTTTCTAGCAGATGCGATTGATACAATGTTATGGTCCTTGAAGGTGAGATCCTCCGACATGATCACTCCCAGGTCTTTGACGTTGGTGTTTCGCTCTATTTTGTGGGCAGAATTTGTTTTGTACTCTGATGAAGATTTAATTTCCTCGTGTTTACCATATCTGAGTAATTGAAATTTCTCATCGTTGAACTTCATATTGTTTTCTGCAGCCCACTGAAAGATTTGGTTGATGTCCGCCTGGAGCCTTGCAGTGTCTGCAATGGAAGACACTGTCATGCAGATTCGGGTGTCATCTGCAAAGGAAGACACGGTGCTGTGGCTGACATCCTTGTCTATGTCGGATATGAGGATGAGGAACAAGATGGGAGTGAGTACTGTGCCTTGTGGAACAGAGCTTTTCACCGTAGCTGCCTCGGACTTTACTCTGTTGACGACTACTCTCTGTGTTCTGTTAGTGAGGAAATTATAGATCCATCGACCGACTTTTCCTGTTATCCCTTTAGCACGCATTTTGTGCGCTATTATGCCATGGTCACACTTGTCGAAGGCTTTTGCAAAGTCTGTATATATTACATCTGCATTCTTTTTATCTTCTAGTGCATTTAGGACCTTGTCGTAGTGATCCAATAGTTGAGACAGACAGGAGCGACCTGTTCTAAACCCATGTTGCCCTGGGTTGTGTAACTGATGGGTTTCTAGATGGGTGGTGATCTTGCTTCTTAGGACCCTTTCAAAGATTTTTATGATATGGGATGTTAGTGCTATCGGTCTGTAGTTCTTTGCTGTTGCTTTACTGCCCCCTTTGTGGAGTGGGGCTATGTTTGTTGTTTTTAGTAACTGTGGGACGACCCCCGTGTCCATGCTCCCTCTCCATAGGATGGAAAAGGCTCGTGATAGGGGCTTCTTGCAGTTCTTGATGAACATTAAGTTCCATGAGTCTGGCCCTGGGGCAGAGTGCATGGGCATGTCATTTATCGCCTGTTCGAAGTCATTTGGCGTCAGGATAACATCGGATAGGCTTGTGTTAACCAAATTTTGTGGCTCTCTCATAAAAAATTCATTTTGATCTTCGACTCTCAGTCTGGTCAATATAAGTCTGAATGCTAGTTTTGCATTAGGAAAAAGGAAACTAATGAGGATTTGAAAATGCAGATAACCAAGACTATATTTCGCTATGTCAAAAAAAAAAAAAAAAAAAAAAAAAAAAAAAAAAAAAAAAAAAAAAAAAAAAAAAGACTTGAAAACTGAAAAATCAAAATGATAAATGTACTATTATGAAAAGAATGAGTTAATATTATACTATATTCTTCTGTATTTAAATAAATGTGTAGAAATATTCTTTAAAACTCCCAGTATAGTAGTAAACAGTGTTTATGATGGCAAGAAGTATAAAACAGTAACATGATGGATATTCACATCTTCTCTCCCCAGGCAGGTGTTTGTAACCTGATAAAGCCGAATGTGTGAGTGAAACATTATCAATAAAGGCTTGCATTATACTACATTTGTCTTTATCCAAAGTTCAGGTTAGTAAGTACAAGGTAATGACCTGCAAACACTCTTCAACAAGTTCTACATAACACATTATGTAACCTTTGGGTTATTATTGCTTAAAAGATGATTTCCCACTGAAAAACACTATTTATACTGAAAAATGTTTGGACCAATCAATATATTGGAACATTAAGAACCATAGCATTCCTGCACTGTACCTGAATATTCATAATTGTCAATAAGGTCACATAATAAAAAAACATCACAGAAGAGTTTGTTAATGCTGTAGCACTAGCCAACTACAACACTAGCCAACTACAACACTAGCCAACTACAACACTAGCCAACTACAACACAAGTCTAAAACACATTACAGCTAACTGACCTGGCACACCAAGAACACAGCTTAAAATATTACCTGTATTCAACAGAGTATATAGAAGTTGGTCTACTCTTAGCATTGCCTGTAAAAAACAAAATATTCAGCCAATTAATAAAAGGAAATGTTGCGCCAATACACACATTAATATACATTTGTACTATTAAATAAGGTAATGATTATCATCCTACTGCAGATGAATCACAGCCAATAACTTAGAGGTACAGTGTGTTTCTCAACTTTAATTTAGCTACATGAAATATACAGTAGTTAGTATTACCAGTACACAGAGTATGATCTGCAGTCTATTTATACAATGTTATACAATAAATTCACAGGTGCAATATTTATTCATGACTTTAATTACTACTGCTTACTGTACTGCATTTCAAGTAGAATTTACTCACCCTCTCAACCTCCATCTAATAAAGTAAACTTGATCAACTTTCCTAATGCTGTTTTCTTTCATAAAAAGTTTTAATTTTTTGCTTAATCAGGAAAAAGTTTAAGTAGCAATTTCATAAATAATTATCTAAGCCCTGCAGTGATAATCATTACAGGTTATAGTCTACATAATTAGTAATAAAGAGTCCACACAGGTTACTAAAAAAAAAAATGATAAAGCAACACTGATCTCTATTCTTTAAAAAGTTCCATATCATAAGTAATTTAAAAATATCATTAATCCATAGCAAAAAAAAAAAAATCACCAGGATGCTCAAGCATATAATTACAGCTCAACAAATCACTGCAACGCAACAAATCCACTAGCTACTGAAAACAATTTGTGAGCATCATTACTTGAGTGCACTGCAACGGGGCTGGAGTGCCCACAAATCAGGTTGATGTGTATAACAAGCTGGTGTGGGACCAGCCAGGGGTAAGGTGAGCTGATGATAATAATGGTGTTGATGATGATGGTGGTGGTGATGGTGGTGGTGGCAGCCATGCAGGATGGAAGACCAATCAAACTCGGAACAACCCAAAGACACTGGGACTCCAGAAGGGCAGTAATACCTTGCATATGTGGGCTGAACAGCCATGTTACCAGTCACTCCCTGCTCAAACCCGCCTATAAAGTCGACTGCAAGACCATTAAATTTTGTCAGCAACCAACAGAATTAAGATTCCGCCAGTTACTCAAAATTAATACTGTACGCAACAATACAATCTTACGCGTTAATAAAAAATCCTGATAATATCTTTCCATTTGCTAATTACTTAGCTGCAATTTTCATATACATGTGAATGATTTTAACACCAATGATATTGCTTGCATTTATGGCTAACAATAAAACAGATTATAGACAATCATTACTTACAGCTATCATCTTCCTCTGAGAAGACCTTTATAAGGTAGATGGACACACACAATCCAAACACCTGAAATACCAACAACAATGCAGTACTTCATTAACAGAGAACACCTGGTCATATTAAAAATGATAAGATCCAAAGTTTCTCAAAATCAAGTGGAACAATATAGAAATAGTTTTTATACTAAACATTACTGAACAGTAGCTTATTGAAAATGAAATTCAAATTTAATATTTAGAGCGACATGTACCATTTTTATGCTGCACCATCCACTATGGGCCCTCCATTATGTTATACATATTGCAATTTGGTAATTATTCTTAAACCATTTATATAAAAGCAGTATACAGAGCACATTAAACACAATTTTTTTTTTTTTAACATGTCAGCCATCTCCCACTGAGGCAAGGTGACCCAAAAAGAAAGAAACACTTTCACCATCATTCACACATAATTACTTTCTTGGTAGAGATGCTCAGATATGACAGTTTAGATGTCACTCCAAACTGCAAATATCCCAAACCCCTCCTTCAAAATGTTGGCATTGTAGTTCCCATCTCCTGGACTCAAGTCTGGCTAACAGGGTTCCCTGAATCCCATCACAAAATATTACCCTGCTCATGCTCCAACAGCTCATCAAGCCCCAAAAATCATTCATTCCCATTCACTCCTATTTAACATGCTCACACATGCCTGCTGTATGCCAAGCCCCTTGCACCTCCCCCTCCACCCTTTCCTAGGATGACCCTACAATGTATAACATTAAAAAGTGTATTCTTACCGCAAAAGCACACTGGATACCAGCATGAATTGTTTCCACGTAGATATAATCAACAAGACAATTATTCACCTCTAAGGGTCGCATTGGACGTAGAGGATCTAAATTTGTAAGATTAGTGGTATACACTGCTTGACATCCAAATCCATTCACCTGCAGAGAATTACCTTAATGAAACAACTGGTTTTCAATCTTAAAAACAGTTTCTTGTATTCTTAGCTATGCTAAGTTTATTTAAGACAACTAAATTAAAACATTTGCATCACATCAACTAATTTGAAACATGATACTTTAAGAAAACTACCAACAAACATCAACATTATAGTAATGTTTACTAAGCATAAACAATGTCATTACTAACCTCCCACCAAGAAGCACTGCCAGTTCCAAAGTTGAGCCAGTCTTTACTGTTATCAAGAATGCCAATGTTCAAATAAAAACAGATGACGAATACATTCCATCCCACCCACATCAGCTGCCACACCAGGTACTGTAAGATGAACAAAATGTTACTTTATATACAGTATATATAATACATATGCAGTTTTTAATACTGGCCATCTCCCACTGAGGCACGGTGACATACAAAAAAAAATCACCACCACTCATCTGAACAGCCATCTTACCAGGCGTGTGCAGACATGTACTCTAACAGAATGTACAGAGGACCTTCACTGCTTGCATAAATTCAGTAAAGCAACTAAATTATTGCAAATGCTTGAAGTCCCTCTATCTGCACTCCAAGGAATGCAGGTGAGAAATACATTATAAATTCACACCTTGAAAATTCTAGATGGACTTGTCCCAAATTTGCATACACACACAAATCACTTCCTATGAAATTAAGAGGCATGGCAGCTGGTGGAAAATATAGTATCCCTAATGAAAAGAAAAGCTGTATTGAGTACACTAAAAGATAACTCAACAAGGGGCCAAGATTTTTCAATACCCTCCCTTCACATATAAAGGGAATTACCATGAGACCCTAAGATGTCCTTATGAGGGAACCTGATAAGTCCCTCATGTCAATTTCTCATCAGCTGAGCTATGTGCAAACTGGTAAGTTGGACAATGTGCACCTAACATCGACAGCCTGGTTGATCAGGCTATCTACAGGGATGCCTCATCTGGGACCTGGCCCCAAGGGCACTGACCCCTCAAACACCCTCCAGTTAACTTCCAGGTAACATATCAATTCAAATGACCCCCCAAACTGCAACATCTCTACACCACCTTCAGAGTGGAAGCACTGCACCTCCCACCTCCAGGGTTCAAGTCCAGCTAGCTGGTTTCCCTGAATCCCTTCATAAATATTACCTTGCTCCCAATCCAACAGCACATCAAGCCATAAAAACCACTCTTATCCATTCACTCCAATCTAACATGCACACACAAGCCTACTCCTCCCTCTCCATCCAGTTGCTGCATGATCCAAGAAAGGTATCCCCATATCACTAACCCCAACCCCCAGATATCAATGCATGCAAAAAGATTAGTGCAAAGTGTGGCACAAGTTTCTAATGCATTTAAGTATTTTATTAGCAATTAAGATTTGAAGCAAATCAGATTTGGTGTTCACACGTTACCACGTAAGCACCTACATCCCATTTTTTTTTTCAATAAAAATGGCAAATTAGGACAGTTCTCAACTAATTCACACCTTCCACTAACAACAGCGGTTTTGACACCAAACTGAAGAGGAACTATCTAGTGACTTTCTTGAAATGCTCCAGTTCTGCTTTTTAAGAGGTTGTCAGAACCAACTAGTTTTGACAACCTGCTAGTTTATTGTCCATCCCATGTTCATCCTGTGAGTGCTAGTTCAAAGAAACAAAATTACAGGAGTCACATTATTATAATCAATACTAAGCAGTAAACCCACAATGGGTCATTATCCAATCCCACCAACCATCACAAAAAAAAATGTTAATCAATTTATATATTACAATTTCTTCACATGGTTAATGAACACAATACATGATGAAGTAATAATCTTAAAAATATTTAAGTACCTTATTACCACCAAAACATTAGTCATTATTGGGTTGCAATCTCTTCAAAAACAATATAGTATGTATTCATCTTGTCGACACAAAATGAGGCTACAGTCTCAAGACTGCAGATATATTATCATTAATAATGAAATGCTTTGCCAAACCCTGTGAGGTTTGTATGGAGGTGTCTCTGAAAGGATCATGACCCAAAACTTGGTAGTAAGCCATTACTACAACTATTACTACCAATACTACTACTATTACTACCATTACTACTACTATTACTACCTTTATTACTACTATTACTACCTTTATTACTACTATTACTACAACTATTACTACTACTACCATTACTACTACTACTACCATTACTACTACTTCCATTACTACTACTACTACTACTACTAATACTGGTGTTACTTCATAACTAGTATTCTTCTCAGACTTTATACTTCGTAATACGGTTAAGTCAGTAGTACTGGTAGAAGAATATGTTAATGTTGGCTTGAGACTCATCACTCAAGGTGACGTAAACTACAATGTGTTATTTGTGAGGAAGTATTGAACAATGAGTTACAGTATTCAAACATAACTAGTTTAAAAGGAAAGCACAGCGCACTTGTGAACAAAGATGAGTGTCTTTGAAAGGAAACTAAAACAGCAGACTAGATGGTCTTAGCAATACAGCTGTTGACTGTGTGCAACAAGAAACACTTGTTAAGCAACACTTGTTGCACACCTGGTAGCTTGGAAGATTGCAAGAGTAAAGAAGCAACATTGGAGAGGAAGTAGTTTAACCAGCAACAATCGTCATGATGCAGACAGTTTGTGGGCATGAAGCTACAAAAGACAATTGAACAGATATATCTGTTCAATGACACAACTGGTAAATGAATTAAGACCATGTGTTATAAAAGACCAGGTGATTGCAACCATAAAAATGTGTTGGAAAGTTTAGTTTCCAGCTGGACGAGTGAGTCTACAGATATTAGTACCGTACGTTAACTCATGGTTTACGTATGGTATTAAGGTCCAGAAGATATGGAGGAGCAATTTCTGTTCTCCCGGCCATTACACACCACCACAACTGGACAAAATATTTTTAAGATTTGTGGACTCAGGCTTCAAGAAAGAAGCTTCAGTGGAATTAGTGTTTTAATATCTGTATAAATACAAGTTTATTTTAACATGATACATTGTTTATACAGAAATAGGTGATACTTGAGAGCATGTTAAAAGCCTATATGTAATTATGAAGAGCATTTCGGGGAAGCTTAAGAGACGTGTGAGTTTCTGTCTCCTAATATTATGTTTATTTTCCCCCTGTAATCTACCCCATCCATAATTACTATCACATTTGCTTTGTCTGCTTTCCTAAGGTGAAGTCCAGGATCTTTCCTTAATTCATGGTATAACTTAACAAATCTTTGATGACAATTGTGTTGACCTCAAAGATTTGTTAAGTTATACCATGAATTAAGGAAAGATCCTGGACTTCACCTTAGGAAAGCAGACAAAGCAAATGTGATAGTAATTATGTACAAGGTAGATTACAAGGGAAAAATAACATATTAGAAGACAGGGGAACTGATGTGTCCCTTAATAATGATGCAACAGCAATATTTGGAGCTGGGTATGGAGAGTACTTGTCACTTAACTTACCTACCTTTTTCCGAACTGCACACATAGTAGTGGGTATTACATGAGCCCTCGCCCGTTTAAAATCTAGGAATCAATCAGTGGTTCTACTGCAACACTAGTAGCCCCATGCAACATGTTTCACTGGCACTTGCAAGAGCACAAGCCACCAAAACATACATGTATACATGTTTCCGAGAATGTCTACCCGAGGTTTGAGGGACTGCAATCAACGAGCTCAAAACTGTGATAAAAAGTTGTAATAACTGATGAAGAGGGCAGAGAAGTGTATGAATGTGAAGAACATGGAAATGATAGCCAATTAAAGTCAAGTGCTATAGAAAAAGAGCAAACAGAAAGATCTATATAAGGAAGAGTGCGAGGCTTGTGGTGTAGTGGTGTCAGTATTTAAAATACAGAGTGAGAAAAGCCTCTTGACTGGTTCCCATAATTCACACTGAGACCCTCCACAAACGATATGATGCGTATTAAAGTCACCCAATAAAATGTGTTGGTGGGGCGAGAAAGAAATCAGAAAACAGATAACAGGGCATGAAGGAGAAAGATACAAAGATCATACCACGTACCACTTGAAGATTAAGACACGTGTAATAGTTGGGTATCTTTGCTGATGGTTGAAACATTTCGCCTACATGGCAGACTTCTTCAGTCAATGTAGATAAATGGTTCAGACAACCGACAAGTTGGTAGGTAAGACACAGGCAACAGTTAGGCAACTTTACTCCGAAACGTTTCGCCTACACAGTAGGCTTCTTCAGTCGAATACAGAAAGTAGGCAGGAACAGTAGAGATGTGAAGACGATGTAATCAGTCCATCACCCTTGAAGTCGTAGAATTTGAGGTTGTCAGTCCCTCAGCCTGGAGAAGTTCAGTTCCATAGTCAGGAACTATCTGAAGATCAAGCGACAGTGCGGAGACTTAAATACTGTCGGAAGGAGAGGTGCATAGTAGTAGTAGTAGTGAGAATGTAGCCACTGAGAGGTCAGGTCCCTCTCAGATCCAACAGTTCTCACTTGAAAAGGTTGTCCAAGGTGTTTTCTGTACCAAGAGGCCATGTGTTGCAGTGTCTGACAAGATGAACATCAAAATGGCATACAATACCATCAGGTTGGTGGGCAAGACACATGGGCAACAGTTAGGCAACTTGCATACTGTAGTATACCATTTTAATATTCACAAGAGCATCTTGGTACAGAAGAGAAAACACCTTGAACAACTTTTTCAAGTGAGAATTGATGGATCTGAGAGGGACGTGACCTCTCAATGACTACATTCTATCAACTACCACCCTACACGTCCCCTTCCAACAGTATATAAGTCTCTACACTGTCGCTTGTTCCTTCAGACTGTTTCAGACTGTGGAAAGGAACGCTTCTCCAGGCTGAGGGACTGACAACCTCAAATCTCCGACTTCAAATCTCTACTGCTCCTGTTTACTTTTGTACTCGACTGAAGAAGCCTACTGTGTAGGCGAAACGTTTCGGAATAAAGTTGCCTAACTGTTGCCCACGTGTCTTGCCTACCAAGATACATAAGTGTTGCACATATATCTACTTTTTCAGTCAAATACAGAGGCAAATAAAGTTGGAGGCAACAGTTCCAGATTATGGGAGCTCCATAGTCAGGGAACATTATTCCAGGCTAAGAGAGACTGACCACCTCAAAAACTATTTCTCCAAGATTGATGGACTGATTACGTCCCCTTTACCTCGCCACTGCTGCTGCTAACTCCAATTTATTCGCCTCTGTATTTGACAAGAGGAAGCCTATGGTGTGAAGGACCTGCCTAGTATGGGCCAACAGGCCTGTTGCAGTGTTCCTCCTTTCTTATGTTCTTATGTAAGCGAAACGTTTCAGTCAAGAATAAAGTTACCCAACTGTTGCAAACATCTTACTCTTCAACTTGTCAGTATTATATGAGATTTTCATCACACGTGTACCACTGGCCTAAAAGACGCGTGCTGCAATATAATGAAGCGGAGTGCCAACAATATAATGAAGCGGAGTGCCAACAATATAATGAAGCGGAGTGCCAACAATATAATGGAGCGGAGTGCCAACAATATAATGAAGCGGAGTGCCAACATTAAGCTGACAATAAAGTATATCAAACAAAAATCGCACTCTCGTTAAACATCTCATTGAAAAAAAAGACAAAGTGATTGCAAAAAAGCACACAGCAGGAGAGAAGAAACCAAGAGTGAAACGTAATTTTGGTTCTTGTAAACAGACACAGAGGAGAAAACTGGGAACGTATCACCTGGAGCCCTCCCTTCCCCTCCCCCAGATTACTCCTTTATTCTCTTATTTTCCACTGTAATAAAACCATTAGAAGTAAGCAGGAAATGACAAAGTAGTCGGTGCCTATGGGCTAAGATGATCAGTAAAGTTGGTGTGTGACAGTAATGGTAAGTTAGCAAGAAACGATTTGTGGGAACCCCAAGAAGAAAGAGGGTGTAAGTGTAGATCATGGAAGGTGAGATTGTAAAGGTATAGGTGGTGTGTTAGTGTCCATCACCAGTTGTGTTTCCTCAATAAAAGCCAATATAGTTCCCATAGTTTCTGTGGACAAGGTAGCATAGTGCAAGAGCCGGAAGATGTAGGTAAAGTAGAGTGGAGAGACATTGGTAGTTACCAAAAGATGAAGAGACGGTAGAGGCATCCTGGAAGGAACCTGAGCACAGGAGGTGACAAGGGACAAGACACGGAGGTAAGAAAGTTAAGAGTAGGAAAACAATATTCTGGTAGGGAGTTTTGGTGGCTGTGGTAGTTCTGGAGATTGGTGGAGCTACGGTGTTGCAACATCACCACAACTATGTGGCCAAAGTGCCAGCAATTTCATCACTTCCGAAGTGTAAGGATTAATTCCCACACTTGCAAACACAGTCCTGTTATATATACCAAGGTTGGAAGCCCTCGGCAACAGAGGGCAACAGAGAACAATATGATGTTCAATGAAGACAAATTCCAACTACTCCGTTATGGAAAACTGGAGGAAATAATAACTAGGACTGAGTATACTACAAACTCCAATCACACAATAGAGTGCAAAAGTAATGTGAAGGACCTGGGTGTGGTAATGTCTGAAGACCTCACCTTCAAGGACCACAACAATGCCACTATCACATCTGCTAGGAAACTGATAGGATGGATAATGAGAACATTCAAGACAAGAGATGCTAAGCCAATGATGATCCTTTTTAAATCACTTATTCTTTCTAGGCTGGAATACTGCTGTACATTAACATCCTCATTCAAGGCAGGTGAAATTGCAGAGCTAGAGAATGTACAGAGAACCTTTACTGCACGTATAAGTTCCATCAAACACCTTAACTACTGGGAGCGCCTGGAAGCACTTGACTTGTACTCACTGGAGCGCAGGCGAGAGAGATATATCATAATCTACACCTGGAAGATTCTGGAGGGACTGGTCCCTAATATGCACACAGGAATCACTCCATACGAAAGCAAAAGAGTTGGCAGGCGATGCAACATACCCCCAGTGAAAAGTATGGGCGTCACTGGTACACTACGAGAAAACGCAATAAGTGTCCGGGGCCCAAGACTGTTCAACAGCCTCCCACCAGCAATAAGGGGCAATACGGGAAGATCCCTGGTTGTCTTCAAGAGGGAGCTGGACAGATACCTAAAGACGGTGCCGGATCAGCCGGGCTGTGGTTCGTACGTTGGATTGCGTGCGGCCAGCAGTAACAGCCTCGTTTATCAGGCCCTGATCCACAGGGAGGCCTGGTCGTGGACCGGGCCGCGGGGACGTTGATCCCCGGAATACCCTCCAGGTAGACCCTCGTAGCAGGATCCTGATATATAACCCCTCTAATTAAATTAATTCAATAGTTTTAGGAATTTTTGGGAGGCATGCGAGGGTGATGATTGTGAGAGGCCGTGTTGATCAGTAAGTCCTGCCCAGACAGACACAATCTGCATAATTCTATAGATAGATTACGTTTTGGTGTATGAAAAAAACGATGAACCTGCAAGAAGTCTGAGGAAGACGATACACCACAAAATCAATGTTCACACTCTTTTCCCCGCCACTTTTTCCGTGGCCTTGAGTCGCTGTAAAAAGAAAAACACGGCTTGTTTGGAAGGCTGTATTGCAGGAGTGTGTGACACACACCAGGATGTGTCACCAGCTGCACCAAGGAAATTCTGCATTATACATACAATATAATGAGTACAACTGATCAAGTACATCACTACACAAATATATAAAAAGTTCCTACTTCTCCATGTGTACTATAATTCATATTCTTAAGCTGCGAAGTTACTGTACAGTTTTGTTAATGTTTAATGTGATACTCACAATGATAATATATTTTGTTTTGTACTGGTAAGCGCCGAAAAAGCCGAATATCACAAAGATGAAATTGAAGAAGTTGGCAATGATGGGGAGCCACATGTAACCCAGGAAGTCGAACACCTGCCGCTCTGCCGTAGAGATCTGCAACAAATATTAACTATTAACAAAGCTGCAAACAACACGTTTTATAGTATATATGACCTGTAAACCACCTCCAAATACAATGATAAATCATACTAATACAAAATTGTCATGGTTAATCTTGTTAGTGTTCGAGCGCCGTGTTTAGTGCGCTTTTAATTCTTGCTGGTAATCTTTGTTATATTAACATAGGAGAGGGAGGTGAACCCAACCAGTCAGGCGATTTTTCTTTATTATACACACAAACAATTAAGTTCCACAAAATATTTCAAAGCTCTAAACTAATGGTGACACTCGAACAACTGTGAAACTCACACTTACTGGTGATATACTGACTCGCTGATAATATCCAATGAACTCTTTTGCTAAATATTTCCTTCATATACCCTACAAAATTCTGGCTGCCAGATAAAAACAAATCTTACTCCAGAGAGCATCTAATAGACACACTTGCATAGTGCTGATTATCCTGACTACAGAATTAAATCCCTTTATCTCTGAGGCTTCCACCAGCAGCAGCAAATCCTTGTATGGTCGGCTCTTAGATCATGACCTTAGAATACATCCATCTCGGCCCCAGGTTTATTTATCTTCACCAGCCGTGTCAAGTCAAGATGTGATGTTGCAGGGGATGACATCTCGCAATCCCAATCCATCTTCGTCCGTGTCAAACTCCACTGCCTCAGACAGAACAAGACTTTGCACTACTGAGCCGATCTCGAGGACTCCATATTGTTACCACTTACCTGTGACATGTTTCAGTTTTCCTACACCCGCGGCCTGACCCAGGGCCAGGCCATCCTATGGCCTGGCCCTGGGTCTGGGCCATCACCATAGCCAGGCTATGGTGGTTTGCAGTCCACTAGCTTACATATCCATCACAGACTGGTGAATCTATCACACCACAGAGATTGTGATAGTTACCTACAGCAAACTTCTACACTTGTTCCAACAATATTTGACATGTGCTGGTACACTGATGATACACTCTTCTCTTAATGCGCCTCTGACTTATCGGATTGTCACTGGATTTATTTTAACTTCCCCTTTTCCATCTCTCTCACTCCAGGGCTTGACAAGGTTAGGTTAAGGATCCCTAACTTTATTGACAAGCTATTTACAGGTTAAGGATTCCTAAGTTTATTGACAAGCTAAGAGCTGTTACCTACATCACCTCATCTGAAAGTAATTTTATTGTTATGAAACATACAAGGAACAGGATGAAGTTGGAGCCATCTGTGGGCCAGTATTTTCATTTGATCAACTGACTTTATCTCGTTAACATCATAATGCTGTACGAATGTGTTCCATACTCGAGTCATCCTGGGGATAAATGATCTCAGATAAGAACATAAGAACGAAGGAACACTGCAGCAGGCCTACTGGCCCATGCGAGGCAGGTCCAAGTCTGTAAAGTAAAAGGACACAAGTGCAACTAATGTGACATTTATTGTGGCAACGTTTCGCTCTCCAGGAGCTTTATCAAGCCATTACTTTACACATTGTCGGTAATTCTACCAACTTTATTACAGGTCCAAATCTCCTACCGGCTTAAGCCAATGCGCCCAACCTAGTCAGGTCAGGTCACATTGACTTAAGGGAAGAACACGGCAACCGACCTGGTAGCACAAGCTATCAGGTCCAACTCACACCCACCCACATCCACTCATGTATTTATCCAACCTATTTTTAAAGCTACACAACGTTCTGGCCTCTATAACTGTACTTGGGAGTTTGTTCCACTCATCCACAACTCTATTACCAAACTAGTACTTTCCTATATCCTTCCTGAATCTGAATTTTTCCAACTTAAAATCATTGCTGAGTCCTGTCTAGGCTAGATATTTTCAGCACACTATTTACATCCCCTTTATTTATTCCTGTCTTCCATTTATACACCTCAATCATATCCCCCCTAATTCTACGTCTTTCTAGAGAGTGCAGATTCAGGGCCCTTAGTCTATCCTCATAGGGAAGGTTTCTGATACATGGGATCAACTTTGTCATCCTCCTTTGTACATTTTCCAGAGCATTTATATCCATTCTGTAATACGGTGACCAAAACTGTGCAGCATAATCTAAATGAGGCCTAACCAAGTATGTATAGAGTTGAAGAACAACCTGAGGACTCCTATTATTTATGCTTCTTGATATGAAGCCAAGGATTCTATTAGCTTTATTGCGAACACTTATGCACTGTTGTGGAAATATAAACACATATGCAGTATAATGTGATCCTTTATTGACTACGTTTCGCCCACACAGTGGGCTTTTTCAAGTCACAAACAGATCTACCTGGGGTGGAAGGGACGCGAGTATTTCTAGTCAGGTTCAGAATGCTGAGGTCAGGTGGAGAATGCTGCATCTGATGATGTATCGAGTGGGGTTATAGAGTCTAAAATCTTGGGTAGCTTGGAAAGGAGATTGGATAAGTTTGTCAGCAGACCTTCTACAGTGTTCTTCCATTCCTGTGTTCTTATGTGGGATAGCGATGAAGAAGTTTCTTGGCAAGTGGTTCAGCTGTTATAGAAGCCACTATTCCGACAACTTCAACCAGAATAGTGGCTTCTATAACATAGGATCACATTATACTGCATATGTATTTATATTTCCATTGTGTCGGTATTTTATACCATTTATTTCCATGCACTGTTGTCTTGGTTTCAGATTACTGCTAACCAGAACTCCTAAATCTTTTTCGCAATCCGTAATATTAAGATCTACATTATTTAGTTTATATGTGGCATGGTTATTGTCCTGTCCAACATTTAGAACTTTGCATTTGTCTATATTAAACTGCATCTGCCACTTCTCCGATCACTGCATCAGTCTATTCAAATCTTCCTCGAGTGCTCTACTGTCCTCGTCAGAATGAATTCGACGGCCTATTTTGGTGTCATCGGCAAACTTGCTGATGTCGCTCTTTATGCCCTCATCTATGTCGTTTATGTAGATTGTGAACAGCAGGGGGCCCAACACTGACCCCTGTGGAACACCGCTCGTGACGCTTCCCCACTCTGATTTCTCCCCATTTATGCAAACTCTCTGCTGCCTATTTGTCAACCATGCCTCTATCCAGGAAAAAAAATCTCCTATTCCATGTGCCGTAATTTTCCTCAATAGTCTCTGATGTGGGACCCTGTCAAAAGCCTTACTGAAGTCCATATACACAATATCATATTCATTACCATGATCTACCTCCTCAAATACCTTAGTGAAAAAAGTTAATAAATTCGTAAGGCAGGAGCGCCCCTTTGTAAAACCATGCTGAGATTCGTTGATTAATTTATGCTTTTCAAGGTGGCTACGAACTGCCTCGGCAATTATTGATTCCATAAATTTTCCCACTATGGAGGTTAGGCTTATTGGTCTATAGTTCGAAGCTAAGGACCTGTCACCTGCTTTGAAAATAGGTATCACATTTGCCATTTTCCACTTATCTGGCACCATGCCAGTTTGTAGTGATGTGTTGAAAAGATTAGCCAAAGGTTTGCTAAGCTCCTCTTTACATTCCTTTAGAACCCATGCATACAGTTCATCAGGGCCTGGGGATTTGTTAGGTTTTAATTTATCTATTTGCCTAAAGACCATGTCACTTGTGACCCTAATCGTGCACAGTTTATTATCGTCCTGTTCCACATAATTTATCATTTCTGGAATATCGCTGGTATCCTCCTGTGTAAAAACTGAGAGGAAGTATGTGTTAAAAATTCCACACATTTCCTTATGATTGAGACACTTATGCAGCATATGGGAATCTTTATTCAGGAAACGTTTCGCCACACAGTGGCTTCATCAGTCCAATACAAAGAGGAAGGCGTAAGGAGAGGAGGAGAATGAGGTAATCAGTCCCTCAGCCTGGAGTCGATGTGTTCAGTCCATCAATCTTGTAGAATGTACAGCATAGGGCCGTAGACGTGGCTTATATACTGTAGTGAGGTGACTTGAAGCAGACGGAGGCGGGATCATAGTGGTACCATCCACTAGTCGAAGTAGGTCTTTGTCCAAAGGTTGAACAAGCGTTGAAGAATTCTTTGTAAGAAGATCCCATGATGCTGCAGTGTCTGACAGTTGTGATGAATGGTTTGAAAAACCGACAAGTTGAAGATTGAGACACTTATGCAGCATATGGGAATCTTTATTCAGGAAACGTTTCGCCACACAGTGGCTCATCAGTCCAATACAAAGAGGAAGGCGTAAGGAGAGGAGGAGAATGAGGTAATCAGTCCCTCAGCCTGGAGTCGATGTGTTCAGTCCATCAATCTTGTAGAATGATGGACTGAACACATCGACTCCAGGCTGAGGGACTGATTACCTCATTCTCCTCCTCTCCTTACGCCTTCCTCTTTGTATTGGACTGATGAAGCCACTGTGTGGCGAAACGTTTCCTGAATAAAGATTCCCATATGCTGCATAAGTGTCTCAATCTTCAACTTGTCGGTTTTTCAAACCATTCATCACAACTGTCAGACACTGCAGCATCATGGGATCTTCTTACAAAGAATTCTTCAACGCTTGTTCAACCTTTGGACAAAGACCTACTTCGACTAGTGGATGGTACCACTATGATCCCGCCTCCGTCTGCTTCAAGTCACCTCACTACAGTATATAAGCCACGTCTACGGCCCTATGCTGTACATTCTACAAGATTGATGGACTGAACACATCGACTCCAGGCTGAGGGACTGATTACCTCATTCTCCTCCTCTCCTTACGCCTTCCTCTTTGTATTGGACTGATGAAGCCACTGTGTGGCGAAACGTTTCCTGAATAAAGATTCCCATATGCTGCATAAGTGTCTCAATCTTCAACTTGTCGGTTTTTCAAACCATTCATCACATTTCCTTATCACTGTCAGTGAGCTGACCCGAGGAACTTTTGAGTGGGCCTATCTTGTCCCTGATATTACTTCTGTATACCTGAAAGAATCCTTTTGGGTTAGTCTTCGATTCTCTTGCAACTTTAACCTCATAATCTCTTTTTGCTTTTCTAATTCCCTT